GGGGAGTCTGCTTCTCCCTCTGCCCTCTTCCCTCTCGTGCTCTCTGTCTCTCATTCTCTCTCTCTCAAATAAATAAATAAAATCTTTAAAAAAATAAAAAATAAAATAAAATAGTCTCTAGAATGGGAAGATTCTTCTCTTGGTGTGGGGGGAAGTGAGCATGCAAATCGAAAGTGTATCCCTGCTGCATGCAGGTCCTTGCCAATCCCCTCAAATAAGGCAAACTACAAACCCCGGTTTCTGACCCTTTGTCATCACATCACAGAAATTTTGGATACTATTAAATAATTGATCGTTTGGTCAGCTGTCTGCAATTATCAGTACTGCTTGTGACACAGGTGATATGGCCTAAAAGTCCCAGTAAAAAGGCAGTTTAAGATCTAGAAATATAAGTATCTAAGGAGTTAATGAGCCGAGTACACTAAAACGTCCCAACAAGGATCTTTGCTGTTTTTTTATTTGAAGTGGCTTAGATGTCCATGAGCAGAGAAATGCATAAATAGCTGTTTTAAAATTTTTAGATGGATCTTTTTTTTCCACAATAATGGCATCATAGTACATGCAGTGCTTTGCAGTAACCTACTTTTTACAGTTAACTATATATCAAAGAGAGCTTTTATTTTTATATTGTTAAATACACCTATTAAGAAAATATAAAATGTATATTTTAAGTCTAATAATGAACTACAAGGTTTTAAAAATGGAACCTTGCTCATAGCTTCCAAGCCCCGGGTGTTCTCCCTGATCATAACCTCCCCAACCCCCACTTAACTATTCTCCTGGCTTTAGTGATAGTCATTTTTTTACCACTTAGGTATGTGTCCCTAGAAGCGTTCTTTCACATTGACTATTTTTGAACTTTATGGAAATGGAATTATGCTATATGCATTATGCGGTCATACTTTTGTTCAACACTGCATCTGGGAACTCACCCATGTTGATGTGTATAGCCATAGTTTGGTCATTCTGAAAACTGTAGCATTTTCCATTGTATGAATGTTTATCATGTATTTTCCTGACAATGGACCGTTTCTACTTTCTGGCTCTTACAAACAGTGGGACAATGAACACTTTTATACCTGAGGCTCCAGTAAAAGGTTTCTCTAGAGTAGAGACCAGGAAAGGAATTTGCATAATAGTAGGAGATGCAAATGTTTGTCTTGATTTACATTCCAACCATCACTGTATGCGAGTTCCTGCTTCCCTGCCTCTGCCTCACTTGTTAAGATACTCAGATAATTGTGCTAATTCGGTAGGTGTGTAACAGCATCTCACTGTGCATCTCCTTCATTTCTAAAGAGGTTGAGCATCTTGTATTATTATTTTTGACCATTCATATATAGAAGTGTTGTTTTTTTTTTTAAGATTTTATTTATTTATTTGACAGAGAAAGAGACAGCAAGAGAGGGAACACAAGCAGGGGGAGTGGGAGAGGGAGAAGCAGGCTTCCCACCGAGCAGGGAGCCAATGCGGGGCTTCATCCCAGGACCCTGGGATCATGACCTGAGCCGAAGGCAGACGCCTAACGACTGAGCCACCCAGGCGCCCCTAGAAGTATTGTTTATTGATACATTTCCCTTCTGGAGGTTCTGTTGTCTACCTCACACTTTAAGGATTATTATCAAGTAAAATTATGTTTTCTACCTTCAAGGAGCTTACATACCTAGTCAGGGGACAAGAATACTCAGACCAAGGTAAGATCATGTCTGTGAAATGGTCTTGCCTGGAACCTTCAGTCAGTGACCCTGTGGCATCACTTGTGGAATTTTCCACTTAGGACAAACTGTGACCATGGCTGAGTTGTACGTTATGGACCATTTGTATAAGGGATTTAAGAGAAAGGAGATTTTAGTGTGGACAGAGGAAGCCTGGATTGATTTTTTTATTTGCTTTGTTTATTTTAGGTTCTAAATGTAATACATGAAAAAAAATCAAGTAGAAAAGCATACAAAGAAGAAAATCAAAATAATCATTTCCATGCCTCCAGAGATAAAATCTATTACCACTTTACTCTATAAACTCAGCATTCGTTTTTGCTTTTAAGTGACATTTGGATGTTTGAAACAAAGAAATTGCTTTAGCTTTCCCCTTCCCGCTGTCCCTGCAAAAAAAAATTTTTTTAAAGATTGTCAGCCTGTTGGGGAAGTGGCATTTGCTGAGGGTTATTCTTCTGAGAGGTCCCTGAATAGAGGGAGGTCCTCACTTCCTTACTACCAGCTTGGATGGCCTTTATAGGAGACTGCTGTGTTCCAGAGTCAATAAGAATGGACTCAAATTAAGGAAAACTGAACTGAGAATGCATGCACCAAGGGCCAGAGGTTCCTTGGCTGCAATCTAGACTCACAAGGAACTCTCCCAGGAAAGATCAATCATTGTGGAAGGGAGAAAAGTCTTTTTTTTTTTTTTTTTTTCTGAGAGAGAGCTAGCAAGCACTCAAGGTGGGGAGGGGCAGAGAGAGAGAGAATCCCAAGCAGGCTCCCCGCTGAGCACAGAGCCTGAGTGATCTCATGACGCTGAGATCATGACCTGAGCCAAAATCAAGAGTTGGATGGTTACCCAACTGAGCCACCCAGGTGCCCCAGGAGAAAAATATCTTAAATGGTTTTTGCCAACATACCTGAAAGTGACAGTTCCTCCTGGACTTTAACACTTACAAACTCTTTGCAGTGCAGCTGGTATAAATTACTAGGCTGAGGAAAGACATTCCTCTGAGGGGTTAGGGATGGTATGGTAGAGGGAACCACCTCCAAAAGACAGAGGGATCTAATTCCCTGAGAAAAGCAGACCCCACAGGAGTTATATAGGGATGGAGAATAGAGTGGAAGAGCACTCTGGTTAAGAAAAACCCCACATACATGAACTAAAGGGATTCCCATACTGGAAATGTCATCAAGTTAGGAACTTTGTCTACACTTTCCACCACTGTATCCCTGTCACCTGCCCCGGGTACCAACACGAAGTTAGGTACTCAGTGAATGAAACCTGAATGCATGTGTTTTCCTCTAGGGTTTTGTTTCTAGTTACACTGGGATCAAGAAACATGTACCTGCTTCTGTCTAGTCTACCATCACAAATCCTGACTCTTTACCATAATTTTGAGGCAGAAAATGCAGAGTGGCTTTCCAGGTGTTTCAGAAGCCAACACAAAGAAGCAAGGCCATCGATCAGTTAGATCTGTGGTGACTCTGAGCTTCAATCAGTCTGAATTCTTGAATGAGTGGGACAAAACCCAAGGAGATCCTAGATCCAGACACAGATCTCATAGCTTCTTGATGTGTTTGCCTTGATGTTAAGAACCTCCCCTTTTCATTTTCTTTTTCAGATCTTTTCCTAATAACTACTGGGACAAGTTTGTCAAGAGAAAGGTATGCCTTGTCAGTTGGTGGGGGTGGGGAGGTGGTTTCCATGACCACCAAAGAAATGTAGATTTTTTTTTTAAGTTCTACATATACAAACATGAAGAAATCTGCTGTTGCTTTTATGATGGTATCTTGAACAGTAAGTCACAGAAGGGTTTTTGTCTGAACATATGTAGGTTTTGGCTCCATTCCTATACTCCTCTGCCCTAAACAGCTTAACACCATCACTACTTTCTGCATACTAGTTTTCTTCTCCCATCCGAAAAGGTATTAGCTTGAGACGCGGTTTTCACTTGGTCTCTTTTGTTTCTGTTTTCTCCTGGGGCTATTTTTTTTCCTCTTTATTTTCCTGTTGCATTTTGAATCGTGTCTTCATCAACCCCCTTGAAAGAGCCCAGAGCATAGGGAAGCTCTGAAGACCTTGGGGCCAGAGACAGCACCGTGCTACGCGGCCCGAGCTCACTCTGTCGTCCTCTCTCTCCAGGTGATCAACAAGTACGGAGATCTCTACGGAGCAGAACGCATTGCTGAACTCCTGGGTTTGGACAAAAATGCCCTTGATTTCAGCCCAGTCGAAGAGAGCAAAGCAGAGGCGGCCTCTCTGGTGTCATGGTACAGAGCTTAGGGGTTCAAATCCCAAGTCTGGCCCAAGTGGATCCTTTGTTTTTCCAGTTCTCTTCAGTTTGCCAGAGGGAAGGCCTGCAGCATGCCCATGTGCACTCAGGCTCTGGTCTGGCTTAGGGGTTTTCTTCTAGCTTCTGACATATTGGGAGAACACGGCCTCAAGAAATTTAAAGACCTTTCAGCTTTTATGCCTGTTAGAGCTGAAAGAGAAAGACTAATTAAAATTTCAAGATGTGTGATTCAACCGTTCTCGGTCTCTTGGGGAACACATACAACTTGATAAAGCTCAGAGCCGTGTTTAGATTATTAAACCTGAGAGGAAAAACTTAATTTTCCCCCTTATTAAACACTTAAGTCTGACATTTATAAGTTTTAAAATTTTTTTGTTCCCCTTTAGGCTGAGTTCCATTGACATGAAGTACCATATCTGGAAGCTGGGAGTTGTTTTTACTGACAACGTGAGTATGGCACCCGGAAAAACAAGATTCTGTACCACGGAATCTATGTCACTGGATGCCACAGGGCCACAAGCTAGGGTGGGTGCCAGGAAGATTCAGTGGTCGCTTATCAAAGATGGAGGGCCTTCCCGGTGCTGGGGGAACAGCAGTGGTGGAAGGCGTTTCACTTGGCAATTCTTAGGCCAGTTGCGGCACCTCAGCTCCTCAGTATCCAGGGGAAAAAATGGTTTAATGGGCCCATCATGAGGCACGAATGCCTGAAAGGTTGCTAAATCGCCTGTCCGTCCTTTCTCCGCAGTCCTTTCTCTACCTTGCCTGGTATACAACCATGTCAGTCCTGGGCCACTACAACAACTTCTTCTTCGCTGCTCATCTGCTGGACATCGCAATGGGCTTCAAGACACTGAGGACTATTCTGTCATCTGTAACTCACAATGGCAAGCAGGTATTGGGGTTTGTACTGTGCAGAACAGGAGGGGCCTAGATACGGATAGGGGGAAAAAAAGCCAACAACATGTGGTACACTAGTGTATGGCAGGAAGGTATGTGTCACGGTGTACAGTACACCTTTCCTGGCCAAACACATGAACCAGTAGATTGTTACTGCAGAACTGTAGCCATCACTTAAGAGACATAAGACCTTGATGTAGAAACCCCGAACATTTAGATCAGCCAGGAAAAAGGGAGAGGGAAGGAGGTGATGGACATATCAGAATCGCTCTGGAGACCTTTCCTGGTTTACCCTTTCCTCCACGAATCTGATACATTCCCTGGGGGTTGGTAAGTAGGCTATGCAATTAGGAAGCTCCCCGGGTGCTTCTGAAACATGTTTCTTTTTTTTTGAATTTTTTTTTATTCTTATGTTAATCCCCATACATTATATCATTAGTTCTAGATGAAGTGTTCCATGATTCATTGTTTGTGCACAACACCCAGTGCTCCATGCAGAACGTGCCCTCCTCAACACCCACCACCAGGCCAACCCATCCTAACATGTTTCTGATTAAGAAGCAATCACTCAGACATATATATACACACACACATACATGGCTGCATCTGTATCTTCTATATAGACATGGCTGTGTCCAGCCTCTTCTATATCCAGTCTGTTTTCTACAGTGTTGCCAGGGTCAATCCCTTGATTAAAATCCTCTAGTGGCTCCTTTTGTCAACAAACTCCTTAGCATTTCTTTCCTCATTACGTGCAACTTCATAAATGAGACATGAGTTCCCTCCCATCTCTAAACCTTTGTGTAGGAGAGGGAGTAGAGAAAGAAGTTAAAATGTGCCAGGATTTGTACAGCCATTATGGAGAACCCTCAGAAAATTCAGAAAATTAAATCTAGAACTGCCACATGATCCAGCAGTCCCACTTACGGGTATATATCCAAAGCCAATGAGATCACTATATCAAAGAGATACCTGCATTCCCATGTTCATTGAAGCATTATTCATAATAGTCAAGACACGGAAGAAAACCTAAGTGTCGGGGCGCCTGGGTGGCTCAGTTGGTTAAGCGACTGCCTTCGGCTCAGGTCATGATCCTGGAGTCCCTGGATCGAGTCCCGCATCGGGCTCCCTGCTCGGCAGGGAGCCTGCTTCTCCCTCTGACCCTCCCCCCGTCATGTACTCTCTCTCTCTCTCTCGCTCTCTCAAATAAATAAATCTTTAAAAAAAAAAAAAAAGACCTTTAAATAAAAAAACCTAAGTGTCCATCAATGGATGAATGCATAAAGAAAATGTGGTATGTACATACAATGGAATATTAATCAGCCATAAAAAATGGAAATCCTGGCATTCACAACAACATAGATGGACCTTGAGACTATTAATGTTAAGTGAGATAAGCTAGACAGAGAAATACAAATACTGTATGATCTCACTTATACGTGGAATCTAAAGAAATTGAACTCCTAGAACCACAGAGTAGAATGATGGTTGCCAGGGGATGGGGGAAAAGGGGGTGTGTTGGTCAGAGAGTACACACTTTCAGCTATAAGATGAATAAATTCTGGGGATGTAATGTAAAGAATGGTACTTGTAGTTAAAAATACTGTATTGTGTACTTGAAATTTGCTAAGACAGTAGATCTGAAGTGTTCTCACAGTCCCCCCCACACACAGTAATTGTAACTATGTGAGGTGACAGATATGTTAATTACCTTGATTGTGGTATATTTTACAATGTATACATATATTAAATCATCACCTTGTACACCTTAAAAAAATAGGGTTTCCAACCAGAAAAAAATAAAGTCAAAATTGACCTTTAATTGTTCTAAAACGAAAGGTGTTGGAATCAGATCTATAAACATGGAGAACCAATGGTTGCCAGAGGGAAGCGGGTTGGGGGTTTGGGCAGAATGGGTGAAGGGAGTGGGAGGCACAGGCTTCTAGTGAGGGGATGAATAAGCTGTGGTAATAGAAGAAGGCTCAGCATAGGGAAGATAGTCAGTGGTATTGCAACAGCATTGTATGGTAACAGACGGGAGCTACACGTCTACTGAGCACCACGTAACATACATTAGTTTCAGGTGTACAATGTGGTGATTCAGCATCTCTGTAACATTGTCAACTCTACTCAGAAAAATTTCTAAAAGATAAAAGGTGCTAGATCATCAGGTATTAGGGTGGTTTATTTCCTCTAGGTTTCTGGTAGTAGCAATAGTCAATGTTTCTTGTTTGGGTTGATGATCCTATAAAGGCAGTGTTTCCCAAAGTGTGATCAGTGGAACACCAGTTCTACAATATGTTTTTAGAAATTTTTCCTTCCCCTTTACGCAGATATTGAAACGTCAGTTTTTATTGATTTAGCTTAATGACATTACACAAACATGTACCTTAAATGGAAAGCTTAAACAATGAATTTCTTATATGGGCTTGCTAAATAAACTCTGGCAAGATTGTAAAACAAAACAAAACAAAAAACAACTGTGCCCAGCTTGTGCCATGGGCCCGGGACTGTGATAGGCTCACAACTACCTTGTAAGGTAGATGTTATGCTCACTTGACAGATAAGAGAACTGAAGTTCAGAGACGCTAAGTGTCTCCCCCAAGACCACACAGCCACTAAGTGGCAGAACTAGCCCATTTCTTCCTTGGTGCAAAGCCCAGGTTTTTTCTCTGTTTCTAAAACCAACTGCATTCTGTGAGGTCTGCTGTCTGAGGTTTGCTAAGTTATTATTCATCATTCAAAGAATGAATACTTTTCTTCTGGTATTTATCTCAGTACTCATGCCTACCCCCTTTTGTGCAACAACCTGAAACTCGAGAGCAAAGGTCTTATCTTCATAATGACTGTGATCTCATCGCTCCGGCTCAACCCCCAGTCCCTCATATGGGCCAGATGAGCAGATCCCGCATCATCCTCATTCAGAGTACTTCCTCCAGCCAAGAAATAAGCATGCCCTATGACCCCTACAGTGGTTCTAGGCAGATTTCTTGATTATGAAAAATGTCACTTCGCTAAACCATCATAAATAATTCTTATGGCGGCTTCAAAGCTGTGACAATTATCCACTCATGGTTATTGATGAAAACATGTACTGTAGGGATACCCACCAGTCCAAGAACCTTTCATTTCTTTAGAAGCAGCGTTAGAGTAGGAGCCATATTGTTAATTCTCCACTCACGGCTATCTCTGCAAAAAAAGCAAGGGCACCCTCCTGGCACCGTCACTGTTCAATCCTTAAATCCCTTCTTACATTGCTGAGGCCCAGTCCCGTAGCCCGGGTATGCATCTGCTCAGGCTGCCATCACAGAACCCCAGGCTGGTGGCTTAAACAACAGATTTATTTCCTCTCCGTCCTGGAGGCTGGGAATCTAAGATCAAGGTGGGGGTAGACTTGGTTTCCTTCGGAGGCCTCTCTCCTGGGTTTACACCTAGCCACCCTCTTGCTTTTTCACTTGACCTTCCCTCTGTGCCTGTAGCTCCTGGCGTCTCTTTGTGTCCTAATCTGTCCGTAAGAACTCCAGTTAGACTGGAACAGGGCCCATTCTAAATCCATCATTGCAACTTACCTCTTTAAAGGCCTGATCTCCATCACTTTTCGGCCTTTTGGCTAAGATCAAGTGTAAAGGCCTGATCTCCAAATTCAGTCACATTCTGAGATGCTGGAGCTTAGGAATTTGGGGGGAGACAGAATTTAGTCCACAACCCCCACCACCATTACAGTCTTCTCCCCATAGGCTGTTTTGTCCACCATAAGGACCGCCTTCGCTGCCACCCCTCCTCTGTCCCCTTCCCACCTCACCTTTCTTGTTACCTTGGAGTCTCCTGAGAACCTCCAAGAGTGGAGAAGACTCACCTTCTTTCTCCTGTCTCCCTCCCACCCCCAGCTGGTTCTGACTGTCGGTCTCCTGGCCGTGGTGGTTTACCTCTACACCGTGGTGGCCTTCAACTTCTTCCGCAAGTTCTACAACAAAAGTGAAGATGACGATGAGCCCGATATGAAGTGTGACGACATGATGACGGTGAGAGCCCGCCCCCAACAGAGATTAGAACAGAATACAGGGAGAAGTGTCCCGGACAGACAGATGGAGGGAGACGGGTTGCAGGTGCACTGGTCTAAGCCCAGGTGGAAAGTGGAAGGAGCACACTGCAGAGCGGGAGGGGGATGGGGGGGTCTCATCCATCCACGCTTGTGTTAAAAATGTGAATGTGAATGGACCTGCATCTAAATTTCTTGGAAGTCAAGCCTTGGTCCTTTGTCTCTGAGATCTGGGGGGTCTAATCCCATGAAACTGGTGCTCAATTTATTTCAACAAGCCTGATGGGGTTCTTTCAGAAAAACCACTATCATCTGAAAAACTGTCAGAGCAGCAGGAGGGGGGAGGGGGGAGGGATTCCTGTCCTGCCAGCCACTTGTGGGCAGGAAAGGCGCAGCTCCCAGTGAGCTAGCAGAGGGAGAGCACCAGTGTGACCGGCCCGCGTCTCCACACTGCCCCTGCCTTTCCCCGGTCACTGCCTTTCCCTTTGCACCTCACCCCACCAGGCAGGGCAGACAGAGGGCGGTGCCCTGCTCTGGGAGCCAGCGCCCAGATGCCTACACTGGCTCACACATGCAGCCCGGAGGAGGAAAAGTCTTCCCGCAGACACGGCAGGAATCCCTGCCCTCCCGGGTGCACAGAGGATGCAGGAGGAGAGGCGGCCTTTTCCGGAGGTGGCACTCTAAATGAAGGCAAACTCCCATCTGGCGAATGCATGTTCATCAGGGCCCAGCGTTGTTTTAACTTACACATGCCTTACATGAACTCCCTCGTAGGTGTCAAATCGTTCAAACCTTTTTTTTTTTTTTTAAATGAGCAAAGAATATCTTTTAAAGGCTAAGTGTAACAAGTCTTGCCACCTCCCGAGACCCTACCCTGACCAGTGGGCTTAGAGGACAGCAGCTAGCTGTGTGAGGACTGACATCACCGAGGAGCGCCCTCCCCCTGCCTCGCAAAAGAGCTCACATCCATCTTGCTGAAAACAAAACCCTGTGGCTTTGACCTGAACTGCCATTCTTTTTCTTCTCCAGTGTTACCTGTTCCACATGTACGTGGGAGTGAGAGCCGGAGGAGGCATTGGCGACGAAATTGAAGACCCTGCTGGTGACCCTTATGAGATGTACCGCATTGTCTTTGACATTACCTTCTTCTTCTTCGTCATTGTCATCTTGCTGGCCATCATTCAGGGTATGTTGCCAGTTACGTTAAGTATGAGCATGGCTTATACCTAGTGCTTTATCTTTTGGTATCTATGACATTATCTAGAGAGGTTTGTACATTCATTTACTAGTTAATTCGACAAAAATTTATTGAGCACCTACTATGCACTCAAGTGGCTAGACATAAAGCCAGAGATACACCCAGACACACAAGAAACCAGAAAATCTGAATGGAGGACCCCCCCACACCTCTCTTCATCCCCCACTCGGAACTGGTTATCGCCTTCTCACTCTGCTTCCTAGAGATCTCCTGAGGCTGGTCTTGTCCCACAGCCTGTCCTCCCAGGCAAGGTGGTGGTGAAAGAGCAGAGAGAGGAACCGTGAAAGAGTGACAGGTTTTTTCTTTTGTGGGGAGGGGTACTGATATTTTAGTCAATAGCTTGTCAGGAACTAGAGAAAGACCGTGATGAATTTGAGTCATGCCAAGGTGAGGTACCTATAAACATGCAGGTGTTGAGGGCTAAGAAGCCGTTAACTGTAATAGGTCTTTCAAGACACAAGTCAGGAATGGAATAGGAGGGAAATAATAAATATAGTAAGTCCACATAAAATAAATATACAATACAAAAATGAAACAATACAAACGGGATCCATCAGCGCTGGGGGGTGGTACTCAAAAATCTGAGTGTAGAGGAGACTCTCCGGAAGGAGAAACAAAGAAACTGAAGAGGAATCCTGATCTATTTCAATGCTTAAGGAGCTGGAGAAGAGGAAGAGCCCACAAGGAAGACTGAAAAGAGAGTGGCCAAGCACCGTAATAGAACAGGGATGGACTGGGGGGAGCCAAGTGGGTCAAGGAGTAAGCTGCTAGCATTGTGCACTGCAGAAAGGTGGAGTAAGACAAAGGCTGAGAAATGGTGAGCCAGGATGCAGCATTTGAAAACACAACGATTTTTTTCTGATTTTGCTTTACTGAGTTGGCCTGATAATTCATTTTCTTTTTTTTTTTTTACACAAAACAATGTGGCCTCTACCATTGAACCTCTACCTTGAGCCCCGAAACAGATGACTGTAAACACTATCTGTCTTTGTATTTAAAATACCAGGTCTTATTATTGATGCTTTTGGAGAGCTAAGAGACCAGCAGGAACAAGTGCGAGAAGATATGGAGGTAAAGTTCGACTAGCTCCAACTCCATTTTTGTATCTTACAGCAAAAGAGTTTTTTAAATACTCGGGTCTGCAATTACATAGGGCCAGTCTTAGGCAAGTGACCGACAAAGTTTGTTTGCTGTGCCTGTCCTCTGGGCCTGGCTTCTGCTTCATCCTCCCCGGCCTGCCGCCTCCACCCTGCTCCACTAGCTAGGAGCTAAGGATGTGACACTGTGAAGGAGAGGACTAACGGCCAGTAGCATTAAAGAGAGAAATATTTTTTCATGGTCTCTCCGTTCGATCAGAGATCATCACCTCTTTCCCACCTGCCTGTAATGTCACGAGTACTAACGCCTTTACTGCTTCTCTTATTCGTCTTAGACGAAATGTTTCATCTGTGGGATCGGCAATGACTATTTTGACACGATTCCTCATGGCTTTGAAACACACACCTTACAAGAGCACAACTTAGCCAACTATTTGTGAGTATCCGTGGTCAACAGAGGGGACAGTGGCTGAGGAAGGAACGGTAGAGTAAAATAAACAGTTATGTCATACGGTTCCCCTCTGTGTGTGCCCTTTCTGCCTAGTTCTCTGAAAAAGTAGAGGCAGTTAGGAAAAAGGTAGCCGAAATGCTTCCTCACAAGTACACTTAGCCCAAGGTTTAGGAATGGTGAAAAGAATTTCTCCTCACAAAAAGACTAACCAAAATAATATTGTCTTTTTCTCACTTATTATACCTTTTTTCCCCTTGCTCCAGGTTCTTCCTGATGTATCTGATTAATAAAGATGAAACAGAACACACGGGTCAGGTGAGAAATAAAATGTCTTAAGAATTGTACCCCTGGGGCGCCTGGGTGGCTCAGTTGGTTAAGCGACTGCCTTCAGCTCAGGTCATGATCCTGGAGTCCCGGGATCGAGTCCCGCATCGGGCTCCCTGCTCAGCAGGGGGTCTGCTTCTCCGTCTGACCCTCTTCCCTCTCGTGCTCTCTGTCTCTCATTCTCTCTCTCAAATAAATAAATAAAATCTTTTAAAAAAATAAAATTAAAAAAAAAAAAAAAGAATCGTACCCCTGCATTAGGAGTTTCCGTTTCTGAAGTCTTGAGACTCAACAGAACACAGGATGTCTGAAGTAGACAGATGACTTCATTAGTCTCCAACATACATTTTTCCTCTGCATAATTCCGCCATCTCTGTGTGACCTAAGAAGCCAATATTCTCAGGCAACTCCAATCTCTCCCTAAAGACTTTCTGGTTATCCTACCCAACTAACACTGACATTTTCTAAACCCTTATGGTTACTGCTTCAGAGTAGAAGAGCTGGAGGTGGGGAGAACATTACAGAGAAAAAGACAAGGAGGAGCTGAGTGGGTGGCTCTAACAAAGAGAGTAAAATGGTGTGAGAGACAGCCAGAGAAAGACAACCACCTCATGTGTGGGTGACACAGGGAAGGTGGAGGTGTGGGTAGTATGAGTGAAAGTATGTGTCAAAAGGGATTCTATGACTAAGTATGAGAAACAAATGCAGAGATAAGAGAACAAAGGGAAGAAAAGATAGGTTATCTAATACTCAAACAGCATCAGATCTGTGGGACCGCTTCACAGCTCAGACACTTGAGAGGCAACTGGTTCTAGATCTCCCTTCAAATGCTCCAGGCATCTGCCCGAGCCAGCACTCACTATCCCTTCATTGTGCGTTCTTCTGCCTTCTACCAATTACAAATGGCATAGAATCAGCCTGTTGCTAGATCTTTAAGCATTTTTACTTGGAATCATTACACCATGTTCAGTGTTTTGGGGAATGACTTTTTGGTCCTAAACTAGCCTGGGCTGGGAACAGAGCAAGGAAGAAGGTACTAGTTGGGACCCATCACCCTTCCCCAAGGGAGACCTACGGAGTAAAAACCACCTGGGTTTAAGCTTACTGTGGTTTAAAAAGAAGTACCCTTTGTTCCCATTATTTCAGGAATCTTACGTCTGGAAGATGTACCAAGAAAGGTGTTGGGATTTCTTCCCAGCTGGTGACTGCTTTCGGAAACAATATGAAGATCAGCTTGGATAAATCAGAATGAAAGAAACTCCACAATTCTGGACAGTCAACTTCCAGGGAACTAAATCCTTTTTACAGTTCTGCAAAATATTTGAAATGTGACCTATTCTAAATGCCTCCCTTACAAGAGGAAGTGTTTGTTACAATTGTATTTTGGGATTGATTTGGCTTTTTGTGCCTAATGGACATATCCCTGGGGGAGACAACCTATCAAAATGTTGAGAGATGGCAAAAAATCAAGGAAACTGTAGTTGAGAATACCTTCAAGTTTTTCAGTTCTAATGGAACTAAGTTGTTGCAATGATGTCATTGAGGAAAGGACTAGAAGTATGAAGTCTTCAATGCACAATACTGAAATTTTAAACACTTGAGTATCACATGACAGTATCCACTAGTGACTCATGGTCTGAACTACAAAAAAATCATTTTAACTGCAGTCAGATTTCTCCCATGGTACTTGCTAGTGAATGTATTCAGAATCAGCTTGAAAAGCTTTAAGCAGTTAAAGAAATAGAAAAAAACACCCAACACGTTGTCGACACTGAAATATCGATTAAGTGCCTTAAAATCTCTTTAGATATAGCTATGCAAATTTTTTATGTTTCTGTTCCAGACGGACAGTTCCATTAATGAGTTGTGTTGATCTTCCGTCTTTATGAAACCGCACTTGAAGGTTATTCCTATCATTTTTTTCAGTAACAGCTTGTCAACTGCTGTTATTAGAAGTACTGTACTGAAAATCCAGAAAAATTTCAATCTTATGCCAAATTGAGTACTGCTTTATGGTTCCCTTGTAAGTACTGGAGCTGCTGTGTTTAGGTGAATCTCCTTACGTCAAAGGAAGTACCCACTGCAATAAAGTAATACACACCAATCTGGGGTGTCGGCCTCTTGTGATGTACCTCTTCTGGATGATTCTACAGCCGTCCTGTGATTACTGGAAGAAGGGACACGAGACAAAGGGCCTAACACCCCACCCAAGAAAGAAAGGAATTCCATAGACCAGCGTTCGTTTATTTTGGCCACAAATGCATGCCTTGTTTGCTATTCTATCAGCAGCACCTGCTCTGCTGTAAACATGGAAAGGAAGGAGGCTGGAAATAAGAACCATAACATCCCCTGCCCTCGAGGAATCTATTAGATTGCTAAGCCAGAGAACAAATGCAACGAGCCTCTTAGATGTATAGTTTCGGATGTCGTGGGCCAGAGGTAGGCGTTTACTGCGGCAAGCGTGGTAGAACACACTGGCTCGGGGCATGCTCAGAAACCAGCTGTTCTGGAAGGACAGCCTTGGGCCCGCCCTTACTGACAAGGCAATCAAAATTTGCTTCAGGCACTTTTTTTTTTTCCTCCTTTTTCTTTCATGTTAGGAAATCATGCTGTCCAACCAGTCTTCAAGCTCTTCCTCAGTAACAGTTTTTGATGTACATGGTTGCTCAGATTCCACATTCTTTTCTTCCATCACAGAGAGCTCTGCAGGACCTGGGGAAATAAAAGCGTTAACAACTTCACTTTAATCCCAAAATTGAGGGTGACGGTTTCCTTGGGGTTTGTTCCATGATAGAATTCAGCCCTGATTATTACTGTGCTTACAACTAGAGGAAACATCCTATTATGGTTAGAGGATACAGTAATTAATAGCTAAACAAATTAGTAAATGGGGTAGAGATTTGCTCTTCTATTTATTCTGAAGTTGAATGTCACAGTTCACTGGTTTTCTAAAAAGACCAGCAGCTCCATTTTCTTTTACTGTCGTAGCAATCCTGGGAAGTCCTTATAGGTTCTCCAGTGCAGTGCAGGGATGGAGCAGACACCCTCGGCCTCTCTGTAGCAGAGGGCCCGCGGGCTCACAGGGCACGCACAAAGGCCGAAGTGCTCTTTTGTACAAAAGTAAGATCGAAATAGCAAGCCAGAAGTCTGGAGAAGTCGATTAAAAGGTCTGCTGCTGCACAGCTGAGGGCGACGAGGATCCAGATGCCTTTTTCTAGCGCCCGGTCCAGCGGCAGCCCCGGGTTTAATACTGCAATCAGGCAGGGAGCAGCTCTGCAAGCCTGGCATAGCGACTGAGAGGCAGGCTGTCAGAAAGGTCAGCGGACAGCGGCAGATCGATGTCAGACGCTGGTGGAGAGGGGTAGGGACGTGACGCAGGTGGGGCTGTTGGCACACAGAAGAGAAGATGGATAGGGAATAAAATGGAAGCCATACCTTTTTCTTCTTGGGCCACCTTCCCATCTTTCTCAGATTCTTGGTCCTGAGAGGTCTGGTCTGGTGCGATGTTATCTCCATCTCTCACAGGTGCATCTAAACTAAGCAGCAGGTCTAATTCTTCCTCCAAGTGGTCCGCTGCTGACTGCAGTGCGGTGCTGGGTTTCTGAGAACCCTGTGAGGGAGCAGGGCTTGGGCCATCTTTATCCAGGTACGTGGGGCAGCCAGCAGCGGCCGACTTCAGCTCGGAGATGGAGCCCTTTCCTCCAGGCCCCAGGGGCCCTTTTAACCGCATCCCCAGTCCCTTGCCTTCCTCATTTCTCTTTGGTTTCACCTGAGGAAGCTCTAAAGGAAGGGTGGTCTGAAAGAGAAGCAAGCCAAACTTTGTGGAGTAGGAAAATTCAATTCAGACAGGAAGTTCACAAAGGGCTCCCCCTGCCCCAGAACCCTTCCTTACTGAGTTGGCGTAAATGGGGTGACCTCACTGAAACACCACAGGGCCGTGCCTCCCCCTCTGCCCACCTCTGCCCTGTGCCATTGCAGAGTTGACGTCAGAAGGGCATGTCTTTCTGTAACTGCCCTGAGAACCGGCAGTACCCCAGGTCTGGGTGAATGTACGTATGCTTAGAGCTGCGAGGAGATAAACACCTGTAAAATGCACCCAGAAGTAATTAGCAAATCAGATCTGTGCACGGTACTTACATGCACTAATAATAAAGGTGAAGGGACAGAGTCATCAAGAACGACTCTCAGTAACATTCGAGTGAAAAATGCCAGACACAAACGAAAACCTACTATTTGATTACATTTGTAAAAAGTCCAAAAACAGGCAAAATTCATCTTTACTATTAGAAGTCAGGAGAGTGGTTTTAGGGAAGTAGCGACGCGGCGGACAGGCGGCGTCAGGAGGGCTGCCAATATTCTTTTTTTTTTTTTTAGTTTTCAATAATTTCTATGTA